GCCCCGCCCCCATACGCGGCTCAGGGGCCCCCCGAGCAGGCCGAGGGGCGTTCGGAAGCACCACCGCCCCCGTCCGTGTTCACACCCGCTTATTGTCAGCTCTTAACAACACAACCGACATGCAAAAGGCATCAGCGCTCGATTTCCACACACGGCAGTTCCAAAAGCAGGTGTCTACGCGCTTCACAGATCTGCCAGAGTCTTATTTTTCAAAATATAATCATTGCTGCCTCGCCAATTATGGACCAGTTGCCAACAGCCTCATTACCGACCCCATCGTCCTCCTGCCATTGCCCTCAGAAGCCACGCGACTGAGGTGATCAAACTCGCCCAACTCAGTACATAGCCACCAGCCTGAACGCAGTTGGTCTTTAACGCGAGCTGAAGGCCCAGGGAAGCTAATGACTGAACTCACAAGTCACGCAAGGCAAACAACTGGAAATTTGCACAAATTTCTAAGTGTGCCAAACACGGCTTCCCTCCCAGCCAGGTTTCTACACAGACCGGCATTTTATCAAAGATACAACTAGAAAAAAACGAACACTGCCTTTCCTTACAAAGAGCATGCTTTTAAGAATACCAATACCTGCAATTTATTGTAAACATTCATTAACAACTCCAGGCATGCAACAGACAAGCAACGTTCAAAATTTTGCAAAGTTTGGCCTTACACCAGTTGCTTCAACTTCCACAGCAGAGCGTTATGACAGATGAAGCACATATGCACTCAACCATACACATTTCAAAAGCGTTTTTTTGGGTTTGGGTTTTTTTAACAGCGAAAAATGAGCAAAATTATCTCAACTGTATGTCAATTTCAATGTGCTAACAGCATTAGCACAAAAACTAGTACTAAAATAATGACATTCTGAACATTTTTAAATATACCAGATACTGTGATGCACAAAACCAGGTGTGGCTTTTAGAGTATTAATCATAATAACAAGCCATTACCAAAGCCAGTGCAATAAACGTTTCAGTTTCACATTTAGCTGAAACCCAAGTGTCTCTTTGAACATCCCAGACCCATCTGCTGGCAACCTAAAGGAAAGAAAAGAAAAAGCTATTTGTGAATCTATAAACAGCACAGTTCTTATATTTTTTTAAAAGAACACACAGCATTATACAAATACTGATAGATTTGCACTACGAGAGTTACAAGTAGTAAAAACAACTGCAAAATTACAGTGAAAATGAACAAGTGCTATTTGATGTTAAAATACATGCTCTTGCTTCACAGTAAAGCTTCCACCCCAGTAGATCCAAAAATCTCTACACCAAAATCTCAGTTGTCTCTCACATTGACTTGTTAGCACTTCAGCGTACGTAACAGCACCCCTTCAAAAGCCACGTGAAGAGACATTAGTTTTGGGAACATGTACAACTAAGAAGTCACGTCCCCCTCTCCTCTACCTCCAGCTTACTCCAGTCTACTTGTGACCATTTACTGGGCTCTCAGTTTTTTTGATAAAACTGTTTTCAAAGCTAAAATGTGTGAATTGACTGCTGGAATAAACATATTCCTCAGGAGAAAAAAGTTAGCTTGGACCATTTCAGTAACCCATTTTAACCTACAGCTCCTCAGTCAAAGTACATCTTCAGAGGCAGCGTATTGTGAGAGAGTACCAGAAAGTAGGTAGATGCAGGCCCCTCACAGACTGGCTTCACGACTGAAGCTGAGAACCCTTCGAACATTGTTTCACGTAACCCTCTAAAAACAGGTATGGTTTCGTCAGGTTTTAAGAGCTGCTGATGAACACTCCTAAATAGAAGTGCTCTCTGACACTCGGCAAGATACCTAAAAGTGTTCTGAATGCCAATAGCAGCTTGCAATACCTGTAGATTTATACACAACACAGGGAAGTCTAGAATACTTTTCTTTTGAGTGTGCTAAGTTCAGATCACTAATGTTAATTGTGACAACCCAACTGGAGATCAAAAGTACATTGGAAAAAGAAAAAGAAACTTCACTGCAGCCATCCAATTGTACTGGCACAGCACACAGCAGAAATAACGGGTTGACAAGGAAGAGGCAGCATAGGCTGCTTACCACTGTCACTGAACTCAAAAAGAAGACAACCTTCACAGGGTTAGGTAGAATCACAGCAGTACATTAAATTGTCACCTGGCATACTACTCCCCATAAAGAACCCAAAGGCTTCAAAGACCACCTCAAACTAGTTAAGCTGCTGAATGCGGATGAACACCTAGGAGATAACACACGGTTGTAAAAATTATTTTCAATTTGCAAAAGATATTATGAATGTTCGCTCACATTTATTGCCTGACCTGCCTTTTCCACAATTAGCACTGATACCACATACTTATAACGGTCAAAGTCCAATTCCTTCACAGCCTTTAATATTTCTTCTGAGATTGAAGCACACAAGGCAGGACTAGAAACTCCATCGTATTTGGCTTGTTGAAGTTTATTCTATCAAAAACAATTTTGAAAGATCTTAGGTTTTGTTAGTCTTTTGCTAAAAAAACTTTTACAGTCATGACCATTACAAGAACATTAGAAGAAGTAATGAGTAGAATAGTGAATATAGATGATGCTCTCCAACAGCGCTATTTTTACTCTAAAATGTTTCATCTACTTTTTGAAAGTAACAAACACGTCCAGCCAATCTCCATTTAACAAATAGGAGTGTATTCTTCTCCATCATTTAGGCTCAGTTCACTGGAAAACAGTGCTACAAATACCTGTTCCAAATATCCAAGGCATGTCTTCCAAACAGAATTACAAGAGTTGGTCATAACTATTCAAGGTATCCCTAACAGCTACATATTATCTCAACAGATTGTTCTTAATTTTTGTACGTGGCCGTCAGATTGTCAAGGACACCAAGTATATTTTATGCAGGTCACGTGATATTAGGAGTCCTAATTGAAGGAGTAGAATTCCACAAATTCAAAGTCAGGATTTTTGGATAACTGAATATTTTGCAGATTAAGGTACTTTGAAGTGTGCTATAGCTCAACTTGGTTTGGAAATAGGTAAGAGTTTAAGAAGCTTCAGCTCCATCTTAACAGCACATGCTCAGTGTCAACCTTGCAGAGGGCCTTTGCACTTTGCAAAACGGAGCACATTCACATTACATTTGTGTGCCAAAACTCAAAGTCTGCAAAGATTAATGCATATGTTTAAGTTTATGCAACTTACATTGTTCCATTAATACAATCTTAGCAAGACAAGCTACTTTTGCAATAAAATTAGACAATTAATTAAAAAAAAATACTATACCGTTAGTATCGCTTGAGCTTTGTCTCTTACTAAATAATCCCGAAATTTATTATGTGACTCCAGCCTGTATGTATTAGCATATCTTATCTTTGCCCTATTAGCTTTGAATGCCAATAGCTTAGTTTTCATTGAATCACTAAAATACTCTTCTTCCATTGGAGCCGTACATAAAGCTTCGTAATTTGATTGTGTCCTTTTTCCTTTCGTCTGTGCAAAATAATAAAAAAAGTTCACATCACATGTCAATATTTTAGCATTTAACAGTCTCTAAATAATACTTTATGGTGTACAGTTAAGAGGAAAAAAAACAATTAGTCTCAGAATATGTTACAAAAAATGCAGAAAAGCTACAAAATGGGTATCATCTTTTGGCTGTTTTGACACTACCGTTATGACTGAAAAAAGAGAACATTGGTTAACTTCCACTCAATTTTAACTTCTTTTCCACCGAAATCCAAATGAAGTTTGCATTTAAACTCAGTCAATCAAACAGACCATACTAGCACTCTGAATCCACTCCATTTCCAAGTAAAAACACACAGGTATTAACATACGTGTCCAAGCCTGTTAACCACAACTTCAAGCTTTTCAGTCAAACAGCCTGTACAAACCCCAAAATATATGCTCGGTTCATTTACGACATAATTTTGCTTGTCCTCATTCCTTGTGAAGCTACTAAACAAATGCCTTATGCATTAATGACTTAATTTGCTCATTAATTAAAAAGAAGGGAAAAAATACGCTCCAATTTGCAAGCTTTGTGATTTTGCTTGGAACTTAAAAACAGAGTAGTACTTCTTTTTGTTTGTCATCAGAACTCTGAAGTCCAGGTTTTCTCCCCATTCAACCTGTGTACTATCATTCTCTTCAACACACATAACAAAATTTGGCCCTCTCTGCATGCAAACAGCAAGTCTGATGATGCACACAAAAGATGTCACCTGCTGTCCTCCATGGCTGGCTTAAAACAGAACTGTAAAATGGTAACAAAACAAGACAGAGACAGGATAGCACAGGGAACCAATGAGATCGTAACAAATGCTACAGTGGTATTCCATACCAGCTACCTCCTAACCGACCAGTTTTGCTGACTCTTCAAACCCTCCACTTCCTGGCTACAGCTAGAACTTAGGTGAGAGAAAATCATCGGTTCCTTCTCAGAAGAGCAGAAAATAGCACAAAGGTGATATAACACCACAGTGCAAGGCTTACACTAACAAGTATAGAAAAAAATCACACACTTATGAATAATATAGAAGTCTAGTGAGAATTATTAAAAAAGATGCACTACTCAGGGGCTCACCAATCTTGCAGCCAGAGGAGTTTGAGAATAAGGGAAGCAATGCAATTTCTTCTCTATGAAATCACTTGCACATCAGCCCTGTCAACACTGTGGATATTACCTACATCTCTCCTCTGGTTCCTTACAGTTAGATAATTCTGTTAAAAAACACTGATGTTGGCAGCCCTAGTGTAAATTGGCTGCAGGTGTTTGTTGATGCCATGCCAACAACGCAAACTCTGAATAGTACTTACACTACACTAAAAACGCAAGGAGCAAACACATTTGCACCTAGGCTGTGGACTCTCATTATCTGCTAGATGAAACTCAGACCTATAAAGACTATAGCCCCTACCTGCTCATCACAGGTCCCCTAACAGATTAAAAACCTCAAGTCTGCCATCTGAGCATCCCAATCCATGTCAGTGGAAATGAACCTGTGAAGAAGGTCACAATCCAAACAGCAATTCTTTGCTAACATGGTTCAGCATGAGTCACATCTTCAGCCTGTACTATTACAGACGGAAAAAAATTCATGTCTATAGCACATGGCTTCTAACAATGCTGTTACTTACAAGTTTAACTGCTATTATTAGCGACAGAAGTTTTCATAGCATTTCCTCATGTGCAAGAAGCCATTTACTAATGCGGCAACCAAAAACCTTATTGATATCTCTACACAAACAGCTAATAAATAAACCTACTTTTGTATTTCACAACAAAAATACTGCAATTGCAACTTTTAGCACAATGTTGCAATTACATTTCTGTATAATACTTACATCCTTCATGAAAGGATCTCTCAAAATTCAAAAACAGACTTTGCATTTGACTATACAAAAGCCTGTTCTTATGTTACTGGACCCTACTACATTGGCTTAACCTTGGACATATGGAAGTAAGTATGCTGAGAGAAGAAAATTTTGCTATTTGAAAGAAATGCTATTTGAAAATAAGTCTGTTTTAACAACCAATCGTTGCTTTAAAGTTAAAGAAACAGTTCTTATTTATTTCTTCAAAAGAGGGCACACCTTGTCCTCACTTAGAGAACTTACAGTAGCACCCCAAGCTGGAAAGACTGCACCACCAAAGGGAGGACCACCCTTGCCTTCTTTTCACCTCCACAAGGCTTTAACAGCTTTGCCTCCCAATGCCGAAGGCGGCACACCAGCTGCAAGGTGGATGTGAACGTGACATCTGACCAAGTAGAAGGGGGACGAGCTACCCCAAACCGGATGTAAAACAGATGGGAACCGCACTTCTGACACAAGTTTTCACAAGATCACACTCACCTTTTAATCACGCACCCAGCCTCGCGTTCTTCCACGCCCTCTGCCGCCCCTCCTAAGGACCCAAGCCCCATCCCTCCTTTTTTCCCTCGCCAGCGAGGGCCACGGCGGAGCGGGAGGCCGGCCGCCCCACCAGGCCACCGCGCC